TTTAGATAGATTTAATTGATAGAATATGAAGTTAATTTTATTGTTATGTAGATCTTTTATAAAGAACATTTTGTCCATTTTATTGCTATTGATCAATTATGCAAATCTTTAGATGTTAATTTTATTACCTTTGATAATCACATACAGTAAATTATAGATGTCCATTTAGTTGCCTGCAGATCTGGTAATTTTATTGACACAGCAACTTTATTACCTAGCGAAATAGCAACTTTATTTCCTTTGATATATTTAGTTTAGTTTATTTTATTATTTATTCAATATGTATAAATATTTCTGTATTTTCTTTGAGTCTCAACACTGATGAGATACTAATCTTTTAAGTACCAAACTTATATTATATTAATAAAGGAGTATAATTAATCAAGTATAAAACTTATCCTTTATAAATCCTTAAAACTGTTATAATTATCTGTGACCTTTTGCATTTGTGCAATTCCTTTAATTATTATTAGTGAACTTATTATAAATATTGTATTAATTTGCTATATTGATTTGGAGTTTCTAAAGCGTAATCTCTGAAATATCTTTAAGTTATCTTTGTGTTTATTTTGTGTTTGTCTCATTTGTTTATATTGAGAATAATTTTTTAACGTTATTGTGAATCCTCACCAGTGATTTGTTGAGTAATTGTCTTAGTTTTATTTACCCTTTTGAGATTTTATTTGAAGTTATAAAACTAACATAACAATATATTAATATTAAATAGATATTTATTTAAATAAAAATTATCAAATTCTTGAATAATATATTTTGGTTTTTTTTTAATTATATATGATAATAATATGTAAATCACTTACTAAATTTTAAATAATTAAATTAGATATTATATTATTAAAACATTTTATTTTATATTTTAAATATAATAAATAAGATAATATAAGAAGTAGTTATTTCTATTCTTTTCAATATTATTTAATTCTATGTAATAAGTTTAGTATTAGAATAATTTAACTAAAATTGATATAAATATCTTAAACCATATATTACTTGAAATAAGTATATTTTATAAGATTATAAAACATTAAGTATTTTATAATAAGAATTAAAAATATTAATAAGTAATATAAGATTTTTTTAAAAGTTATTAAAATTAAATATTTCAAATATAATACATAAAATAATTAAAACTTTTCTTATTTATGATGAATTTCTATAATAGGTAGTTTATATTTAATAGCCAATATTTAAATAATAAATTTTTTTTTAAAAAATAAAAAATGCAATAATTATTATTTATTTGTAATATTTGTTAAGTTTTTAAAAGACTTAAATATATTTTATAAATACTATTCTATCTCATTTTATTTGAAACAATTGGGATCTTTGCAATAAAAAGGAAAGAAACTCTAAAAAAATTAAAATTTTAGTTTATAAGCCAAAAATGTTCTAAATACTATAATTTGTTCAGATTTATTATTAACTCATTTTTTATTTTTTTTTGAGTTTCCTCCCTTTCTATTGCAAAAGCCTCAATTGATGTTATATATTTTTTATAAATTTCATATTGTATTTTTTCTTAATTGTCTAATAAAAATTCATTGTTTGAATTTTGAAAGTATATTGTAAATTTATTAGCATGATCAACATTAACCTTAAATTCTATAAATTTTTGAAAATTTTACTTACACAGATTAATTTAATATGTAAAACATGATAAAAATACAACTAATCTTATTAAAATTCTTAATCTTCACTATATCAGGTAAAATTTTAGATAGATTTAATTGATAAATTAGAAAGTCAATTTTATTGTTATATATAAAAATAGTTTTCATTATTATTTTCAAATTTTAATTGAATTATAACTTAATTGTGTTATAAAAAAATTTAATTACGTCATAAATTATAAATTAATTGCATTATTTCTTTTAATTGCGGTAACCATTTTTATTTATATAGATCTTTAAAAAGATTATTTTGTTTATTTTATTGCCATCGATCATTATGTAAATTTTTAGATGTCAATTTAGTTACCTTTGATAATTATGTAGATTATAGATATCTATTTAGTTATTGCAGATCTGTTAATTTTATTGACATAGTAATTTTATTACCTAGTAAACTGGCAACTTTATTTCCTTTAATATATTTAGTTTGGTTTATTTTATTAATTATTCAATATGTATAAATATCTTTATATTTTCTTTGAGTTTTAGCACTAATGAGATGTTAATCTTTTAGATATTGAACTTATATATTATATTAATAAAAGAGTATAATTAATTAATTATAAAACTTATTCTTTGCAAATCCTTTGAAAATATTATAAATTATTTGTAACTTTTTATATTTATGTAATCCCTTTAATGATTATTAGTAAATTTATTATATGATATTATATTGATTTACTATATTGACAAAGTCTTTAAAGGACAATCTCTGAAATATCTTTGAGTTATTTTTGTATTTATCTTATGTCTTTTTATATTAAGAATAATCTTTAATATTATTATAATTTTTACTTGTAATTTCTCGAGTAATTGTCTTAGTTTTATTTATCCTTTTAAGATTTTAATTAAAGCTAAAAAACTATTGTAATATAAATTAGAATTTTAATATTTAAAATAAATTAAAAAAATAAATTAATAAATTAATAAACTTACCTAGTTGCTGTATATGCTATTGTATTATCAGTAATAATAGCATAAATAATAATTTTTTTTTTCTTTAATTTAGTAAGTATTGATTCAATTTTTTACATTACTTTAATATGATTTTTATATTTTACACTAATATTAATAGCTTTTCAAATATAAGGTTTGCTTTCTGAAGTTATTAAACTGCTTATAATAGTAGTTTATTTTTAACATTAGTTTATCTATCAAAAGTTATAATTACGTCTACTTGATCTTTTATAAGAGTAATATTTATAATATCATTAGCTTTTTTACAGTTTAAATTAAAATCTCTTTTCTAAATTCATAATGATTAGGTAATTTTATAAGAGAATTTAAAAAGTTAAATAACTCTTTAGCTTTAGATTTTTAACCCATAATAATGCCAATTAAGATGAAATAGTAAGTCTAAGTAATAATATATTAAACTTTCCTAAATCCTCTTTAAATAAAGGTTGAATAATGAAATTATCCATAGAATTATAAGATAATCAGACAATTACTTTGTAAGAAGATATTACAAAATTATTGTGAAATATTTATAATTAACAAAAAATTATTATCAATAAATATGATATAAAAATATAAATATAACTAATACTATATATCTAATCTTTTATTTAGAATTATTAAAGTTGATAAATTGTTATCTTCTAGCAATTTAATATTTCTTCTCATACTTTTGCAGTTATTTGGTAACAAAATGTAAATATTTCTTTAAATGAAGAATTATTCTATTTTTCTTATTTGAAAAACATTTCTTTTTTTCCTAATTCTTTAATATATAATTTACAATATGTCTTAAAATTAGTATTGTTAAGTTTAATTGCAGATCTAATAATCTGCTGAGTTAATATAAAAGAAAGTGACATTCTGAAATATTCCTAAAAACTTAAGACATTTAAAGATGCATTATTTTAAAAGAAATTAATGAATTTACTAGATTTCATGTAATTGTAAATTTGAAATCTCTTTTTTTATGTTCAGCATATAGATAAAAAATATTTCTTTTTTTAAAAAAAATTCAGAATTCAGTGTAGTGAATAAAAAATATTTCTTTTTTTAAAAAAAATTCAGAATTCTACATGATGGATGAAAAATTCTTTTTTTTTTTAAAAAAAAAATTCTTTAGGATTTGGCATAGTAAACAAAAATATTTTATTTTAAAATAAAAAATTCAAAATTTGGTACGTTAGATAAAAAATTCATTTTTTATTTTTTAGATTTTGGCGTGGTGGATAAAAAGTTTGTTTTTATTATGTATTTTTTAGATTTTAGCGTAACTGATAAGAATATTTATATATATTTTTATAATTCTTTAGTGGAACTTCAAGTAAGATTTTTTTTAATATATTTAGATTTCAGTATGGTAAAGATATGTATATTCTTTTTTATATGTTTCTTAAGTTTCAGCATGAAAAACTTTAGAAATTTAAAATAATAAATTTTTTTTTATTAATTATTAGAGGTGAAGATAAAAAACTTTAATATATGTATAAAATAATTTTATAAAAAATAAAAAAATGTCAGAGATACATAAAATATCTCAGATCATTTTTGAAATTAGGAGGATGTGTCTGCATGACAATTAACAATAATATATCAGATGCTAATAATGGATATAGGATGCAGATTACGTTCTATGCAAATTCACAGATATTGTTCGTATATAATATTGAATACTAGCTCATTGTACTTTTGTTCATACTTGTTTTGCTATTTTGAGCTTAAAAGCTGATGTCATGATTTTGATAAACAATAAGGTATAATTAAACTTGAATAGCACCAGTTTTGAGCTATGAAAAAATTCAAAAACAGATTTACTTGACATTGGATTACGAGCTTTTATAACTTTATTAAACGAGATTAATGTGAAATAATTCAAATATTTTTTAATGGGATTTATTAATTTACCCCACGCTATGATTGGCTGTTATAATTGAGATTAGTTAGGGTTGGGGTTAGGTGTTAGGTGTTAGGTGATTTGTCACCGACATGACACTGGTGATGTTACAATTTTTATTAGGACTTAGCATTTTTTCGGTGGGTGATGCTTATTTGTCACGTTATGGAATAAGCATAATCAATTATACCAGCCAATCATAGCGTGGGGGTAAATTAGTAGACCCGCAATTATGTTATTGATGATGATGCAAGACCGATGTTCCATAAATTTCTATGCAAGGATGAGAATTTTTCGTAGCCACTTTGCTCAATTATAAATATCGTATCAAAAATTTTTTCTATTTTCACAAAAATTTTCTACATAGCCAAAATTATTGCAAATTTTTAAAACTTCATTTTTTTTTTTTTAAAATGACTAGTAAACAAAAAAATCTCCTCCACCCGACGTCGTGCTTCTTCTCAAGGTAAGACAGGTAGATTTAAGAATGGTCCTAGACTGGGAGCTACGATTATATGGAATGTGTGCTATCTTGTCCTAAGCTTGGAATATACACAACCCATGCTGTTTCCTAGAAGGAGTGTGATTTATTTGACCTTATTTAATGACACTTATCGCCATTATTACGATTATTTTTCGGTGCTCGACAATCTTTAGAGAGATGTCCGGCCTTTCCGCAATTAAAACAGTTTCGTCCACCATTTCCAGATGAATTTGACTGCAGCATATTAACACTTTGCCCTTTCTCTACACGAAACTTTAGGTTCTCGTAATGTAAGTTCCTCTTGCTTAGAATTGATTATTATAGTTTCTATTATCCTGTATCAATATTTAGCCTTATGGAACATTGAATATTCAATACTTCCTTTTGTAATATTTGTTTTGTGTAAACTTGTTGTTTTAAATGTTGCTGTACACAAAATTGTCAATTCAGTTTTGATACGCCAACAAAATAATTTATAATAAAGCGTTTAAATCAATTTCGCTTTTCAATACTTCAATAAAAGCAATAATATAGGAACTTAATCTTTGAATAAAGTTTCTATCTTAGCAAACTTCCCATTTCATCAATTTTAATTTCATGATGTTGGATCAAAAATTTAGCCATTTACTTTTTTTTTTCATCACGATTATCAATTTCCTGTCCTGTTACAAAGAGTAGGTATGCCATTGCTAATGTTACATGTGCCGAAATGTAATTAATCATCTAAACGGACGTCTGTGAAAATGTATACAGAATTTAACATAAAGTTTTCCGTGAGGATATAAATATGTCATTTAGTCGTATTATTTTGCAAGAACTGATATATTAATTCCAGCCACTATTACAAATGTGGGAGCGGTTTTATATTAAGAAAAAAAAAGAATTATTTAAATAATCACAATAGTAACTGAAAAAAAATATGTTCTGGATTTTTCGACATTTATATCGTAAATTTAAAATAAATTTAAGGTCTATATTATATAAATTAAGATTTATTCAACTAAAAAGTAAATAAATTAAGCTCATTATTGTGCAATAATCACATGCTTATAACTACAATCTTTACAATTAATTTTTTATAAAAATGTTGTTTGCCTAATTAATTGAGAAATTTTTTTTTTAATTATATCGATATATCGATAAAATATAGGTAAGCCTTTTTTTCATTTTGTTATTTTCAAGCTTTTCGATTGTATCGTTCTGTGTCGATTAAATATTAGGTAACCTTTTATATTTTTGATTTTAATTTTTTTTTGATGATATTGGTTTGTTGCGTCAGTTAATGATAGGTAAATTCTTTTACTTTTTCTGAAGTTATTTTCAATTTTATTAGTCCAACCCTGCTAATACCATTAAATTAGTTCAAATCGTCAAAATTGTCGAAACTATCGAAATATGACAAAACATTTCGTAATACGTTGAAATCCGTTGAAATTGTAGAAACAGTCAAAATTATTTTCAACATTTGCCAACCAAAGATTTACCTGCAAGATTACGACCATATGTCCATATGTCCCACATTGATGCTCTTAGACATACGTTGCATATTTTGAGATTTCTTTTATAATACACTGAATCAGTTTCTTTTCTTAAGCGACTAAAAAAAAAGAAGGAATAATTTTATAAATAGGTATATTTCCTTCTTATGTTATGGATTAAAAGCATTACCTCTTATTTATTACCCAATGAAAGATAAAGTTTGTTTCCTTTTAAGTAGTATTATTGATCTGATGGTCGAATAATATCGCGTTAAGCATAATCATTTAATTTTGAATTAAATTTATCTCTAAAAAGAACCGCTGCCGTAGCCTTAAAATAATGTCAGGATTTGAATAGACTCGTTGCGATAAGAACAAAACATAGAAATCGATTCGTTTTCCAAAAGTTTACTCCCGAAATGGATAAACTTTAACAAAACAAACTGATATTTGAGGTGGATTACAATTAATGTATTCATGAAACAATTCACATTACGTCCATGTAAAACCTGCTTTTCAACTTCCATGATGCCGTGTGTAGGTTTTTTACCTCGCATTCGTTTCTGTCGTTACTAAACGAGAAATTAAAGGTTGAAATCGACTATCTAGTTTATGTGTAGTCGGCCTAGTTGTCCGACTATAGAGTTTTGAACCCATGTGCTTCCAGCCTTTTCTCTTCGTTTAAACAAGGATTGATAAAACAAGTTTACTGAAACTTTTAAATAAAAACCCTGTTTTTACAAAATAAAATAAAATTAAAATATTGAATGTTTCTCAAAAGTAATGAAATAATAGAGTATAAGAACATACCACAATAGTTTCTCATTGATCGAAAAAGTCACCATTTCTATCATCTTGATTTTTCACTAGATACTACTATATAACATAATCAAATACATATTTTTAACTTTTAACCAAAAGATAACCTCAATATGACCTTTCTTTTTGATTAGGCTGTTAAAATACTTTATTTAGACGACTGTCCACGTAACACAAATATTCTATTAATATTTGTGTGACCAAAGGTATTACAGTACTTTTTACTTCAAAATAAAACACATTTAAATTATTTCTTCTTTCCATTTTAATTTATTGACAACAATACCGTGAATCAAAAAATTACTCGAAATGTTCAGTTCATCTATCAGAAATATTTATTTTTAGAATAAAAGAGAGAACGGGAGACAAACATCTATAGAAATAAAATAAATGACTTAAATAACTACCTCAAGAATTCTTTTAAAGTTAATACAAAAAGGCAATGCAGAGGCCACTACAAGATTCAATAAAGTTTTTTGTAGATCTATTACATCTTAAAAAATAAAAAAATTTTTTAGATTAGTCTATGACACAGAACTTATGATTCGAATTATTGATGGTGATCGTCCTCCGATCGTTATATTGAATTAATGAAATTATGTTGGGAACTTCTATTATATATGATCTTATAGATGAAATCATTTTGAATGAAGTAAAAGCGCCGACAAAAAAATATCCTCGGATCTTGGACCTATCGTAAAAAAATGATTTATACAATGTTATGCACACGAAGGTATAATAATATAATTAAAACTACAACTTTTAAACTACCGAATGATGACAAACAATTTTTTTTTTTTATTAAAAGTAGTGAATCTATTAATATTGGTAAGTAAAAAAGAAATATAATAAACAATAATTTCCAAATCAATAAATTTTGATATTTAATAACGAGAATCAAATGATTATAAAAAAAAGAAACATTTATATTTAAAGGTTAGATTATTATTTATTTTTAAGTCATTATCATTTAAATAAATGACATTGATTTTGTAACTTGTTCATATGTCAGTCATCAAAATTATTACAAGGATATACTGTAATTTCAGATTTCAAGTAATCCAAAAAAAGGTGCTAACTGGAAATAAATTTCTTTTTATTATATTTTATTGATTGTCATAAACTTTGTAAATATTAAGCCTACTCACAAATCAACGATTCTATTGATCGTTATGCTTCAATTTTATGAACACAGGTCGTTCGTTATTAAAATTGTTACGAGACATAGTAAATGGTATGATCTTTACCGTGATTTTAATAATAAACCCACTTAATCGGACAATTTTATTAAATTAGCTAAGTTTACTCTTTTTTTATTTAGTTATTCTATTGACTATAGAAGACAAATTATCAAATATGTATAAATCTTCTCGACAGTCGCCATATTTATCAAATTTATTCATTCATATTTGATTGCTTAAAAGTGGATGAAAGTGTTAGCATTGCTTAAAATTATAATAACTAATTCATCAAACACAAGTTCTTCTGTATTATATTTTTTTAATTTGGTTCACTAAATGTAGGCGTGTCATTTTCAGTTGCAATAATAGAGATGAAAATGGAAGCAGGTAGTCATTTCTGACTTTGCATAAAGTCAAGGTAATCTAATTAAACAGATAAATTAATTCAACAATGATAAAGTACTTTTAAAAAATTTATTTAATATTATCTGAAATATCTTCAATTACCCGTAAAAAATAGTAGAGCCTATATTAATTATTCTGATGTAATACTTACTATTTTATACGTCTAAAGTTAAGATAATTCTAACACGATAATTTCTGTGTTTTTGTAATTAGCATTATGAATGCTACAAAGAATTTTGAATTTGTAAGCAATTTTTTTTATGGACGGAAACTAATTACTTCCTATCTAAATACAAAATCGAAAACGTAGTCTTTTTTTATTAAAGCTTCAATCGAGAAGTGATACCGCGTTATTCCTTAAATTATCATTAACCAAGGCTGGTCATAATTTTTATTAATATACATATACAGTGGTGTGCAAAAAAAATGACAATTTTTAAAATTACGATCTTTACACAACCACTTTATCAATCGAAACGTACAATATGTCATTTTAAAGCTAAGAAGCAATAGATTTTATTAAAAAAA